CCTCGCGAAGAGGGCGTCGGCGGCGCGGCGGCGGCTGCGAGAAAAAAGAAGAAGAAGACGGAGGACGAGGAGGAGGAGGAGGAGGAGGAGGTAGAGGCGGCGGCGGCGGCGAACGCGCCCGCGCGCGACGACAGCCTCCCCCCCCCCTCCGGCCACCTCCCCCGGGCCTCCTCCTCCGAGATGTCGCTGACGCGCCGCGCGAGGGATCCCTCGCTGTTGAAGCGGTTCCCGGACAAGCTCCGAGTCTCCGGGTCGCACCGCGTCGTCAGCCCCGCGGACGAGCTCAAGGCGTCCATCGTCAAGGCGAGAAACCAGGCGCGCATCCTGCGCAAAGCCATCGTCGAGTCGTACCGCGGCGTGAACATGCTCGGATCGTACGTCTCGCTCAACATGGAGGCGTTCCGAAAGATCGTCAAGAAGCACGACAAGCGCACCGGGTGGCAGACGCAAGAGACGTACATGAAGAGCATCCACCGCCTGTGCGTCTTCAACGACGAGGAGCTCGAGGAGCTCCGCGGCGCCGCGGAGGAGGCGTACCTTCGCGTCGAGGAGGTTTTGTGCCAGCTCGAGCCGAAGCGGTGGCAGCGCGCGACCGCGCGGTGGAAGGGCGTCAGAGGCGGCTCCGGCGCGCCTGGGTTTTACGAGGTGCGTTCTCCTCACACGGGTTCCCATACGACCGCGTCGGCGTAGTGAACGCCGTTCCTTAAGGACTTTGCCCGTCGTTTCTCTCCGCCCAGGGTCCCTCGCTCACAATCCCGACCCACCTCGACGCCTTTCAACTTCAACTGACGCCTATGAACTCCACCCCGACATTCGCTCGTATGGAACGACCCTGAGATTCGACGGCGACGGAACGAGCTCCTCGCGGAGTTGCGGCAGGACACGCGGTCGCCGACGGCGAACGGCGTCGGCCCGCGGAAAGACGCGGGGCCGAGGTTCAAGGCTGGCTTGGCCCTCGGCGCCGCCGCCGCGCTGCTCGTGACGTTCTTCCTGAACGTCTCCTCGCACTGCTGGGACGACCCGTCGTCGTTGAACTGCGACGCCGTCGCGTCCGTCGCGCCCGCGATTCGCGCGCCGCTTCTGATCGCCGCGCACGTGTTGTTGTACGGGGCCGCGGTGCAGGTGAGAAGAATATGTTTCACACTAGTCCCCATACGACCGCGTTCGCGTGGTGAACGCCGATCCTTAAGGGCTTGTTTCGTTCGTTTGTGTCTCTCTCTCCCCACACACGATCTTCTTCCACCCACGTCATCACTGGTCGCTCACCGACCACACCCCAACCTCCACGTCGTCGTCCGTCCGTCCGCGATGACAGGCGTGGAAAGCGACGGGGGTCAACGCGCCGTTCATCATGCAGGCGAAACGCGGCACGGAGCTCAGCGCGACGGGCGCGGTGTTCGCGGGGTCGCTCGGCGCGTGCGCGTGGACGATCGCGAGCATGATCATCGTGAGCCGCGCGGTCAGCGCGGTGAACGAGGCGGGCGACGGCGGCGCTTCATTGGACGACGCCGTGGACGTCGACGTCTTGAGAGCGCACGAGCTGACGTCAATTTTTCAGGCGTCGTTCGGAAGCATGTTGTTCGGGGCGCTGATATTTTTGTACCCGTGGCCGGAGTTTGGGCGCGTCGCGGAGCTCATGAAGAGGCTCCCTCCCGTGCACGCGCTCGTGACGCACCCGCCGACGAGCACGCGGCGGTTCTTCCTCAGCGCGTTGTACCGCGGCGTCACCGCGCCGATGTACCGCGTGCGAATGATCGACTTCTTTCTCATGGACCAGGTCGTCTCACAGACGACGGCGCTGCGTGATTTCTTCGGCGTGTTTCTCCTGTGCTTTGGGGGCGACGGCGCGAAGTGGGCGTTCGCGCGAGCGGGCGTCGTCGCGATCGTGCCGTCGTACTTGCGCTTCGCGCAGTGCCTCAGGAGGTACAGAGACGAAGGGCACTTCGTGCAAGTGTTGAACGCGGGTAAGTATTTCGCGGGCGCGACGGCGGTGTCGTTGGGGCTGCTGTCCCGGGTCGTCGAGGACGACGCCGGCGTCGTCGGCGGGGACTGGACCGTGGACGACGCGAAAGGGTGGCGGCACGCGTTCAACGTGTTCACGCTGATAGCCATCGCGTACGCGATGTCCTGGGACTTTCTTCAGGATTGGTCCGTGTTCATCGTCGTCCGCGACGGCGGCGGCGACGGCGACGACGACGACGATAAGGAAGGAGGAGGACTCGGAGGAGAAAAAGGACTCGGAGGACCTCGCTGCGGCCCTTACAGAGCGACCGCGCTGAGCCGCCGCCTGATGCTCTCGAAGCGTTGGAAGTACTGGCTCGCGATCGCGGTGAACGCGGCGTTGCGAAACGTCTGGATCCTCGCCTCGGTGCCGCTCGATTCGAGAGGGTCCGCGGCGTCCGCGCTCGGCGCGGAAGCGTGGATCACCCTCTTCGCCGTCCTCGAAGTCTCCAGACGCGGGATGTGGAACTACTTCCGCGTGGAGAACGAGCACACGACGAACTGCGGTCAGTACCGCGCGACGCTGGAGGTGCCGCTACCGTACGCGGACGACGAGCTCACGGACGACGAGCGCGACGACGACGATCACGACGACGACGGCGGCGCGTTGATCGCGTCGTCGTCGATGCACAGCCGCGCGGGTTCCGACGGCGAGGAGAGCGACGGCGACGACGCGCCCGTCGTCGAGCTCGTCCCGCAGAGGACGGACTCCGTGCTGAACTTGGCCGCGATGCATCTGGCCGCCGCGGGGGTTACTGAGGAAGGGGGATCGGAGGACGGCGGCGGCGGCGGCGGCGGCGCGACGACGCCGCCCCTCCGTGGCCGCCGCCGCGTGTCGCTGCGAGAGGAGCTCGAGAACGAGCTCTCTCTCGAGCTCTCGAGGGACGAGGGCGAGGTCGTGATTCGCCTCGACGAGCGCGAAAACACCCCAAACCGTCCCACCCCGAGCAAGAGCAGCGGTCTCGAGGCGATCCGCGCGCTGCTCGTGGAGGAGCTCGGCGCGGGCGCGCCGGGGTCGCCGGGGTCGCCCGGGAGTCGACGGCGATCGATGGACGCGCGGCGGCGGAGCGTCGATTTGGCGCCGTCGGCGACGCCGCCGCCGCCGTCGCCGAAGCGACCGTGATGGGGGCGGCGGGCGATGGATCGTCGAGGGTATTCATTCATTCATTCATTTTTTATGATGCACGCACGCAGCACGAAGGCTGCTCGCTTTATTATTCACGAGAGAGAGCGCGGTGATCAAACAAACAATCGTCCGTCGTCGCCGCCGCGCCGTAGAAACTCTCCCTCCCTCCCTCCCTCTCTCCCTCCCTCGCGCGAAAAAAATGTATTGCAGTCGACGGACGTCTCGAGAGTCGTCCGCCTCCTTCCCTCTCGTCTCATCTCATCACATCCCCATGCCGCCCATGCCGCCCATGCCGCCCATGCCACCCATGCCGCCCATCGCCCCAGCGCCCATCGCCTCCGCGGGATCCTTCTTCCCCTCCACGATCATGCACTCGCTCGTCATCATCAGCGACGACACCGACGCCGCGTCCGTGAGCGCGGTTCGCACCACTTTCAGCGGGTCGATGACCCCGGCGGTGATCATGCAGCCGTACTCCCCGCGCGCGGCGTCGTACCCCCAGTTGTGATCGTTCTGAGACAGCACCTTCTCGACGACGACGCTGCCCTCCACGCCCGCGTTCGCGGAGATGGTGCGCACGGGCACCTTGAGCGCCGCGCGGATGATCTGCACGCCAACCTTTTGGTCGAAATTCGGGGTGGAGTTGAAAGGCGTCAGGTGGAGTTGAAAGGCGTCGAGGGCGGGGATTGAAAGCGAGGGGTGGGCGGAGAGATGCGACGGGAAAAGTCCTTAAGGATCGGCGTTCACCACGCGAACGCGGTCGTATGGGGACCAGTGTGACATAGAACGCACCTTTTGGTCGAAATTCGGCATCGACGCCTCCAGCGCGGCGAGCGATTTGCTCGCCGCGAGCAACGCGGTGCCTCCGCCGGCGACGATGCCCTCGTCCACGGCCGCCTTGGTCGCGTTCAGCGCGTCCACGACGCGGTCTTTCTTCTCGCCGACTTCGACCTCGCTCGCGCCGCCGATCTTGAGCACGGCGACGCCGCCTGAGAGTTTCGCGAGCCGCTCCTGCATCTTCTCGCGGTCGTAATCCGACGTGCTCTCGGCGATGCGATCGCGGAGCTGCTCGCACCGGTCCTCGATCGCGTCCTTCTCCCCCGCGCCGTCGAGGATGATCGTGTCGTCCTTGGACACCGTGACTTTCTTCGCGGTGCCGAGCATGTCGAGCCCGACCTGGTCGAGCTTGTGCCCGAGGTCTTCCGACACGACCGTACCGCCCGTGAGCACGGCGATGTCCTGAAGGCCATTCCATACGAAGCGATGTCGGGGTGGAGTTGAAAGGCGTCAGAAGCGGAGTTGAAAGGCGTCGAGGTGTGTCGGGATTGAAAGCGAGGGACCCTGGGCGGAGAGATGCGCCGGATGAGAAAGTCCTTAAGGATCGGCGTTCACCACGCGAACGGGGTCGTATGGGGGCCAGTGTGAGAAGAACGCGCCTGAAGGTTCGCCTTGCGGTTGTCGCCGAAACCCGGGGCTTTCACCGCGCATATTTTCACCCCGCCGCGGAGCTTGTTCACGATCAGCGTCGCGAGCGCCTCGGACTCCACGTCCTCGGCGATGATCAGAAGCGGGCGCTGCGTCTTGAGGACCGCCTCGAGGACGGGAAGAAACGACGCGAGCCCGGAAATTTTCTTCTCGAAGATTAACACGTACGGGTTCTCCATCTCGCACTTTTGCGTCTTCGCGTTGGTCGTGAAGTACGGCGAGATGTACCCGCGCTCGAACTTCATCCCCTCCACGACCTCGAGCTCGTTCTCCAGGGTCTTCCCGTCGGAGACGGTGATGACGCCCTCCTTGCCGACTTTTTCCATCGCGCGCGCGATCAGGTCGCCGATCTCTCGCTCGCCGTTGGCGGATATCGTGCCAACCTGCGCGATCTCCTCCGTCGTGGAGATGAGCTTGGCGGCTTTCTTGAGCTCCTTGACGACCTGGTCCACCGCCGCGGTGATCCCGCGGCGCAAGTCCATCGGGTTCATGCCCGCGGCGACGGACTTGCAGCCTTCGCTGAAGATGGCGCGCGTGAGCACCGTCGCCGTCGTCGTGCCGTCGCCGGCGACGTCGTTCGTGGCGCTCTGTTTGTTTCGATTTCATTCGTCGGGGCGGAGTCGACGTGAGGCGTCAGGGGCGGAGTCGTCGTGAGGCGTCCTCACGGCGCGTCGAGCATTGAAAGCGAGAAGTGATGGGCGGAGAGAACCGCCGGGCAAAGTCCTTAAGGATCGGCGTTCACCACGCCGACGCGGTCGTATGGGAACCAGTGTATGCACGCACCGCGACTTGCTTCACGAGGCTGGCGCCCAGGTTCATGAATCGGTCGGTGAACTCGATGTTCCGCGCGACCGTCACGCCGTCCTTCGTGATCTTCGGCGCGCCGTAGGTTTGCTCGATGACGACGTTGCGTCCCTTCGGGCCCATCGTCACCTGCACCGCGTCCGCGAGGTTATCGCAGCCCTGGAGCATGAGCGCGCGCGCGTCGACGCCGAACTTGACATCTTTCGCCATGCCGCGTCTTTCGATCACCGCGCCGAACTGCTGGGCGGCGAGTCCGCCGCCGCGCGCGGACGGCGCCGCCTGCGGAGGAGAGAGAGAGAGAGAGAGGGATCGGGGAAGGGGGTGAGACGACGGCCGACGACGGCGGCGGGATGGAGGGAGGGAGGGATGATGACGCGTCGGTTGGTGGATTGATTAATTCTTCGAGACGGATCGATCGAGCGATCGAGCGACGACCGATCGCGCGCGCGATCGGCCGCGCCGCGAGCGCGATGCGCGCGCACCTGGCGATACGCCGCGGCGGCGCCGAACTGCGCGAGCGGCTTCAGCGCGCGTCGTAACATTGCGATTCGATGTGTGCGTGCGAGGCGCGCGGGGATATCGATCAGTGCGGCGCGTCGACGACGCGACGAGAGCGAAAAGCGAAGCTTCGGGAGCTTCCGAAAGCTTCCGTATGTAGTACGAGTACGTACGCGTTTCCTGTCTGGCGCGCGTGCGTTTTTCAGGTTTTTTTCTTCGGCCGCCGCCGGCCCGCCGTCGTTTCGCGGGCGCGGAACGGCGCGGCGTTCCGACGCGACGTCCTCGTTGGTTCGCGCTTTATCGGATCGTAATCGCCGCGCCGTCACTACTCGCCACCGCGCGACACCAGCGCACACGTCGCACCACACGATGGCGTTCCGACGATCCCTTCGCACGGTCGCGGCGCTCGCGTCGAGGCCCGCCGCCGCCGCGGCCGCGCCCGCGGAGACCGCGCTCCTCGCCTCCCGCGTCGCCGCGGCGGCCCTCGTCCGATCGCACATGAATCATCGAGGGTTCTTCGCGTCGTCGCGCGCCGCCTCAGGCGCCGGATCCCTCATCGCCCCGCACGGCGGATCCCTCGTAAACCTCATGGTCTCCGACGCCGCGAAAGCCGCCGCAATCGTCGCGTCCGCGACGCGCTCGCTGGAGCTTTCGCACCGCAACGCGTGCGACGTCGAGCTCCTGGCGACGGGCGGGTTCTCGCCTCTGCGCGGATTCATGAACGAAGACGTCTACGCGCACTGCGTCGAGAACATGCGTCTGCCGGGCTCGAACCTCCTGTTCGGGATGCCCATCGTCCTGGACACGGACTGCGAGGACACCAAGGTTGGGGACAAGGTCGTTCTCAAGTACCAAGGCAAGGACGTCGCGGTCGTCACCGTGGAGAGCAAGTGGAAGCCGAACAAGGCGCGTTCTATACACTGGTCCCCATACGACCGCGTCGGCGTGGTGAACGCCGATCCTTAAGGACTTTGCCCGGCGTGTCTCTCCGCTCATCCCTCGCTTTCAATCCCCGACCTCGGCGCCTTTCAACTCCAACTGACGCCTTTGAACTCCACCCCGACGTTCGCTCGTATGGAACGCCCCTAAGCCGCTCGAGGCGAAGATGTGCTACGGCACGTCCTCCATCGAACACCCGGGCGTGTCCATGATCTCCATGGAGCGCCGTAAGTACTACATCGGCGGCGCGGTAGAGGCCGTGAGCGTCCCGGAGCGTCCGTTCCCGTGCCCCTCCCCGGCGGAAGTGCGCGCGATGCTCCCAGAGGGGAAAGACGTCGTCGCGTTTCAGTGCCGCAACCCTATTCACCGCGCGCACTACGAACTCTTCACGCGCGCTTTACACGCGGACAACGTCGGCGAGGGCGCGGTGTGCCTCGTGCACCCGACGATGGGTCCGACGCAGGACGACGACATCAGCGGCCTCGTGAGGTATCACACGTACGAGGTGCTCGCGAAGGAGGTGAACAACCCGGCGATTCGCTGGGCGTATCTGCCGTATTCGATGCACATGGCGGGACCGCGCGAGGCGATTCAGCACATGATCATTCGGAAGAACTACGGATGCACGCACTTCATCATCGGCCGTGACATGGCTGGAAGCAAGTCGAGCATCGACGGCGAGGATTTCTACGGCGCGTACGACGCGCAGGACCTCGCGAAAGCGAACGCGGCGGAGCTCGGGATGAAAACCGTGCCGAGCCTCAACGTCGTGTACACGGACGAGGAGGGATACGTGACCGCGGACGTCGCGGAGAAGAAGGGCCTGAGCGTGAAGAAGCTCAGCGGGACGAAGTTCCGGAAGATGTTGCGGGGCGGGGAGGATATCCCGGAGTGGTTCGCGTTCAAGTCCGTCGTCAACGTGCTTCGCGAGCACCAATAAATAATGAGCGACGCGATCATGCGATGACGCGCGGTTCGGTTCGTCCGCGACTGCCTCGTCGGTCCGCGGGGGGCGGCGGCGACGCGATTCGGTTCGTTCGCCGTTCGTCCCCTCATCACAGAAAATATGATACTTCTTAAGGTTGCTTACTTACTCACATTACGCGTTGAACGGTCAGTATTACTGTACAAACGATGAATGACGTTGTTTAATAACGAGAGAAGAAGAGAAGAAAACCGCTCATCACTCGCGCCGAGCGCCGCCGCCGCCGCCGCCGCCGCGTCGCATCTTCCCCGTCGTCGCCGCGCGTCGCATCCGCCGCTGTAACGTCTCCGTCCTGCTCTCGATTTCGTCCATTCGCTCGCTCTGCGTTCGCAGCTCGTCGTTCATCGCGGTCGAGGACGCGTGAAGGCGATCGAGCGCGCGGGAGACGAAAGCGACGTCGTCGTCGTTTTTTTGGCAACTTTTCTTCCCCTCGCCGTCGTCGTCGTCTCGGAGCGCCGAGAGCGACGCGTCTTCGCCGTAGACGCGCCGCTCGCGCTCGCGCGTCTGCGGCGTCGTCGTCGTCGTCGTCGTCGTCGTCGCGACGCGCGCGCCGCCGCCCCCGCCGTTCTTCGAGGACGACGCGGAAGAAGCGCTTCTTCCGGCGGCGTACGAGAACGGGTTTCGAAAGCACAGGCACGCGTGTATCTTCCGCAGCGGGGTGGAGTTGAAAGGCGTCAGTTGAAGTTGAAAGGCGTCGATGGCGGGGATTGAACGCGAGGGATGGGCGGAGAGATGCGCCAGGAAAAGTCCTTAAGGATCGGCGTTCACCACGCCGACGGGGTCGTATGGGAACCAGTGTGAGGAACTCCACCCCGACTAACCTTCCGCAGCGTCCTCTCCGAGCCTCGCACCGCGTCGTCGCACGTCGCGAGGTCGTCCCCGACGCGCTCCAGCTGCACCGTCTGCGACGAGAGCTCCGTCAGCGTCGCGTCCGCGACGGCGACGGCGTCCGCGGCCGCCTTCGCCGCGGCGGCGGCGCTGCGAGTCGTTTCCCTCTCGAGCGACGCGAGCGCGCGCGCGTCCGCGGCGGCGGCGGCGGCGGCGGCGAGGGGCCGCGGCGGCGGCGGGAGGGAGCGGCGGCGCGACGGCGCGGGATTAGGGGGAGGGGGCATGCGCGGAAGGCGACGGCGCGGGCGGCGATCGCGAGGACGGACGCGGGGGGGGGGGGGGGGGTTCTCTGGGGGGGG